CAACCCGTGCACCAGGCCTCTATCCTATATAGTAAAAGGGTAATATGCAAACTGACCCTAACAGCAGAAGGACTGGGAATGACTAGTCACTATGACACACACTCACCACCAGGGGGCAGACGCTCAATGCAGGAGCGTCTGCCCCCTGGTGGTCAGGGCGCTCTCACATGGGAGGAGCTCTACTCAGCCACAAGCCAGGCTGATGGCTGCCAGTACAGCAGTGGTGGTGGGAGACTCTCCTGCCTCCTCAGCAGCGCTAAGGATATCCAACTGCAGTTTAGGCCTGCTCCCTGCTGGCAAGTGGACATCCCCCGAGGGCTGCCGGGCTGCCAGAGGGATGTCTGATTGCCATCTTAGGCCCAATCCCCTGGGGAGTGGGCCTAAGCCAGCAGGTGGTCATCCCCTGAGGGATCCCAGACTGCGAGAGGGCACAGGCCGGGCTGAGGGACCCCACCTCCCCCCCGAGTGCACAAATTTTTGTGCACTGGGCCTCTAGTCTATATAATAAAAACCCAGTGGTTGCAATGTCGTAACGACCAAAGACCGGTCACCAGGAGGCTGTGTGCGTGGCAAGGCGCACGAAGGTGGGCGAGGACTTGACTCTGGGTCCCGCTGGCACCACTGGGAGGCGCCAGCAGGTCTCGGGGGAGTCCCGCAGTGCCAGCGGGACTCGGGGTCCCGGGTCTCGCACGATTTCGCGTGCTGGGTCACTAGTTCAGTAAGTATTTTACTGAGTGCCTACTATGTGCCCAACAAACAGAAAAGGAAGGAAAGAAAGAAAAAAGCAAGCCAGGCAGGTAGGCAGGCATTCACTTACTAAGAGATTCTTAACACAGATGAGTGTCTATTCGAAATAAACTCATGTCTATTTACACTCATATTCTACTACTCTTTCAAACTGAGTAATTCTAAGTCCTACTTAATTCTTGCTCTCCATTTTCCATATTCCTGTTCCTAGCTTTGTTATCAAAATGAATGTTTTCTAAAAAAATGGATCAAGTCCCAGGTATTTGACTTTGCCCATAATTTAGTCACCCTTAACCTTCTTATTTCTTTATTTATAAAACTAGGATGACTTTAACCAACTTTATAGGATTGTTTTAAGAATTAAATGGGAACAAATATAAGTAACAGGCACATAGTAGATGCTCAAAGGATGTTAGTTACCTTTCCCTTAAAAATTATACAGTTGACCTTTGAACACAGGGGTTAGGGGCACCGACCCACTGGCGGAGTCAAAAATCCATGTAGAACAGTGGTTCTCAACCTTCCTAATGCCGCGACCCCTTAATACAGTTCCTCATGTTGTGGTGACCCCCAATTTCATTGTTACAAATTGAACATAATTAAAGCATAGTGATTAATCACAAAAACAATATGTAATTATATATGTGTTTTCCGATGGTCTTAGGCGACCCCTGTGAAAGGGTCGTTTGACACCCAAAGGGGTCACGACCCACAGGCTGAGAACCGCTGATGTATAACTTTCTACTCCCTTCAAACTTAAGTTGTTCTTGGTATCTGCAGGGAATTGGTTTCAGGATGCCTCTTCTTGTGATAAATATCAAAATGCACAGACGCTTAAGTCCTCTATATAAAATGATGTAGATCAATGCATATACTCAGTGGACTCCCAACCACAGATCACACACAGTACAGGTATTTACTGAAAAAAAAAAAATACACATATAAGTAGACCCATGCAATTCAAACCTGTGTGGTTCAAGTGTCAACTGTGTTTTTTAACTGTTGCAGGATCCTGAAGTGCAAACCAACAATTGTTTTACTAATCTCTAGGTGAATCCCTGGTTCTATTTTCCTAAGAAGTGAATTTGTATTTTTCACTTACATTTTTAAAAAATATAAATACTAGTATATATTTTTTTATCCATTTTAACAGCTTCAGTATCTACTAAAAATTCAAATAACTAAAAAAAATGCACAGCTCCCTCCTCTTTCACAAATGTCAAATATTTCTAACAGGTTTTCCAAACATTATTTCGATTTTCTCATCATGCCAACCTCACACAAGATTCCAACAGCATGCTCTGCTGCCACCTATTAGCTGTTACCATACTCTCCAGATATTTCCTTCTTTTTTTGGAATCCTAAAGCAGCCTTAAAGTGCAAGCCTCAAGCCAGTGGAGTACAGTCCTTCTCAGATGAAATGCTCCAAGTGCCTGCAAAGAGTTCCAGCACAATCACTTTAAATCTAACAAAACTAAAGATATGTGCTTGAAAATTCATTTCTCTCTCTCTCTCTCTCTCTCTCTCTCTCTCTCTCTCTCTCTCTCTCCCTCCCTCCCTCCCTCCCTCTCTCTCTCTCTCCCTCTCTCTCCTCTCACCTGATAATATTTTCCCATTGATTTTTAGAGAAAGGAGAAGAAAGAGGGAAAGACAGAAAGAAATATCAATGTGAGAGAAGCACATCAATTGGTTGCCTCCTGCATGTGCCCCGACCAGGGCCTGGGCAGGAGAGGAGCCTGCAACCAAGGTACATGCCCTTGACCGGAATCAACCCGGGACCCTTGGGTCCGCAGGCCAACGCTCTATCCACTGAGCCAAACCAGCTAGGGATAGGCTCTTTCTCTTCCTATTTCCCATTGTAAATGTTATGGCTGTCTCTGAAAAAAAATAAACCAAGTACAGGTAGTGAGGTGTCTAAGGGCAAAAAGCATCTTTCCCAGAACTAAATGTGTTGTCAACTGGAAATACTCTAATTAGAAAACCAACTAAAAATTGTAGAACAGTAAGAACAGCTGTTTTAAAATTACATGATCCCATACCTTGCTATTTATGTATTTTCTTCTAAAAATATTCAGTCAATATTTCACCCTCATATAGCAATGGAAAACTCAATCACATTACAAGAATGTACTGTACTCAACTACTAAACATAGAAGGGCTCAATACTACCCTGAAGAAAAGGTAACTAATAGTTGCTCCTTCTATTAAATGACTTGCTCAGTAAATAGTGAAAACATACCAACACAAACACACACACAGTTTAAAGTGATGAACTTCAACTTCATTGGCGGTTGCTTAATTCTCTGGTCTCTCTTTTTCAAACCACACTAAATTTCAAAACACTTTCCTAATTCAATGAAAACAGACCACCATGAGTAGTCACAACAACTTTTTCATGTAGTAAGCAGAAAAAAACATGCCACCAAAGAACAGTGAGCAGCTCTTAAACCTGCTTTCAGATTTTAATGCACTTGTCAACAATGGTGGTACAAGGCGACATGCAAGGGTAAAAAGAAGCATGCAACATGGCTCACAGTCTTCAGAGGTGGACAATATAGTCAGGAATACAAGATTCAAACATAGAAAAGGATGCACGAAATAACACTGAGTAATAAATGACAAATAATTGGTATAGATAATATTTACTGCAACAGCGTGAAGGGTTGAAACAGCAATAAGAGCAAAGGTTTGCCATTCATAGGAAAGGAGGGGCTTAGGCAAGAGTAAGAGCAAGGAGGATTCAAGCTATTGAGAATAACATATTGAGAATATGCTGTAGTCCAAATAGTAAAAGCATGTTAAATAAATTATCAGACCAGTTTAGCTAATATATATATATATATATAACACGAGTGGGACAGCATTAGGAAGAAAAACGAACTGTGGAGGGCACGAGTCACTGAGTGTTCGGCCAATGTGCCCAGGAGACAAGGAGAAAAGCACCGGAGACTCAGCACAGGGCGACACTCCCACACGACGGAGGGGTGAGGGTCAAGCCTGCAGCAGCGTTTCACAGACTGAAGACAACTGAGGGCGAATCACGCTATCTCAGCAGTTCAGAAATCATGCTAAAAGCCTGAAGTACAATGATGAACGGGGGTGGGAGGGGATGAAATTTGGTGAGGGAGCAACTGATATAACCTGGTCAATGACATAAAGCTAGACGTGTACAAGGCAGAGGAAGGAAGTCAAAATGTTTCCAAAGCTTTAAAACTGGGGACAGAAGTAGCATGAAAAGAAACAAAAGACAGAAAACCATTACTAATAAATTTTTCCAACAATTGAAATGTTTTTAAACCAAAATTCTTATATTTTTATTTAACACAAAACAAAGCACAAACCCAAAGGTACAGCCAATTTCTGCAGTTGAATAAAAAGAGCGTTCATGCTCAAATATTATGAACATCTTATACTAAAGAAGGAACCACAATCTATCATAAATCTACATAAATTAGTAGCTAGTTGATCCAGATCCATGTTGCTATTCTTTTTGTCCAAATGACTCCCATTACTTGAATTACCATACACTTCATATTTAAAATAAATAACTAGGCAGAATAATTAACTGACACCCCGTTAGTTATTCTGCCTAGTGAAATATATGAATAAAAGCAACACATGCTGGACTATAGATTTCTCAAAAGGCTAATCAACAGACTAGAAACACTAAATTGGAAACTGAGTTACCATCAAATCCTTTATAAATAAACTAGTGGCCTGGTGCATGGATTCATGCACATTGAAAGGAAATTGATTAGAAGGTGGCCAGTGGGGCGGGACTGGGTGAGACGGGCTGGACACGCCCTGGAGCCAGCCTCCCTTGGTCCCTCCCCACCGGCTTCATCTGGGCAGCACTGTGCCACAGCTCGAAGGGCATCTGCAGTCACCGCAGCTCGGCAGTAAACCAGATTCTGGGTGACAGTGCCCCAGCAACAACATAACCCATGGCCGAAGGTGAAATTGTGCGGCCTGTGAGGAACAAGGCTCCCTCTTCTCTGGTTCTGGGGTGCGTCACCCAAGAACCGCTGCTGCCAAGTCAATGCAGCTTGGCAGTTCCTGCACTGAGCATCTGCCCCCTGGTGGTCAGTGCGTGTCATACATACTGGCCAGTCAGCCTGTCACTTAGCCTTTTATATATATAAATACAGACTCATACCTTTCTTTTCCTACAAGTCTCCACCAAAGTAATCAAATTTTGAAAAAATAAAAACCATAAAATACACTAGACAAGTTTCATTGAGTTTCTTGGTTACCTTTACTTTATCTCTTCTCAAGCAACAGAATAGACAATTTTCATCAAAAGTCCAATCAGAAATGCTTTCAGGTTGACAGTCTGCAAAAATAGTAGGAATAACAAATTAATAGTCACAGATGAGGATTTTTCAGGAAACAAATGAGAATGTCAAAAATATTATTTTAACAAAAAAACTTTACTTAATAGTAGACAGGTTCCTATTTATGTAAAATCTTAACAATAACTGCTCACTAGTTAATATACCTTCTTCATACATATACTTTGCATTATTAACTAAACACAAAAAGATGCTTACATTGATATAGCTTTAACCAACAAAACTATGAATAAAAAGGAGAAGACAGAGGCTAAAATCACCAAGGTATCATGTCACCAGGATGATTTTTAAATAACAAAAAAATATTTTGAATACCTTTAAATAAACTGAGATCTTTTAAAAATGCAGGTCCAAACAGCCCTTCAAGAATACTTTCAAACCCTGAAAGGATGGAAAAAAATCCATTATTATAATATTCCCTATTGTAATTTAATATTAATCCATCACATGACAAAATGATAGGGTTTTCCTCCAGTTCTCAAGGATCCCCAGATTATTACTGAAGAGATGCTAAGAGAAGAGTGTCAACGACAAATCTTAAAAAAAGGCTTTGCATTTTTATCAATGATTAACATTCAATACAAATTCAGAACACATTCAAGAACTATATAAAACAGACAATGCTAGAAATAACTAATAAAGGAATGGAAACTCATGGGTTCTCGTACCATCTTCCAAAATCCCAAATACCTCTTTATATAAACATTCAAAGTCTAGTTTAAAAGGTGCCTTTCCCAGTAAGAGTCAAACTGCTTCAAAGTTTCCACAACAGTCTGGATTAATCAAATAATATGTTTCTAAAATCAACTGAGACAACATATTTTCAAGCTAATAGTTTTTTTTAAAATATGCTTTTATTGATTTCAGAGAGAGGAAGGAAAAGGGAGAGACAGAAACATCAATGATGAGAGGGAAATCACTGATGGGCTGTCTCCTGCAAGCCCCCTACTGGAGTTTGAGCCCACAATCAGGCATGTGCCCTGACAGAATTGAACTGTGACCTCCTGGTTCACAGGTCTGGTATGCTCAACCACTGAGCCACACCGGCTGGGCCAAGCTAATAGTTTTTTGAAGAAGGAAAATCCTCACTGAGAACACCAATATATCACTATAGAAAAAAGCAACTATATAACATTTTAACAGAAAAACACCATTGTGATTATTTCACATTGCCACAATTAACTATTTACTGGTTCCTTTATGAGGTTAGAACCCACTAGTTATACATACAAAAATATGAGAGCCCTGGACGGTGCAACTCCGTGGTTGGAGCATCGGCCCACGCACCAAATGGTCTCAGGTTTGATTCCCAGTCAAGGGCACCTACTTAGGTTGCAGGTTGAATCCCCAGCCCAGTTGGGTGTGTGCAGGAGGCAACCAATTGATGTGTCTACCTGACACTGAGGTTTCTCTGTTTCTCTCCCCTCTCTTCCACTCTCTAATAAAGAATTTAAAAAGGAGCCCAGCCAGAGTATCTAAGTGGTTGAGTGTGGACCTATGAACCAGAGGTCATGGTTCAATTCCTGGTCAGGGCACATGCCTGGATTGCGGGTTCAATCCCCAGTGTGGGGCCTGCAGGAAGCAGCAACCAATGATTCTCTCTCATCATTAATGTTTCTCTCTCCCTCTCCCTTCTTCTCTGAAATCAATAAAAAAAAAATATTTTTTAAAATAAGGAAAAAAATTAAATATACCTATACATAAATATTTAAACTAGCATCATCTTATACCAGTATAAAGTAGAAAATGAAACACACACAAAAAAGTTTCTAATTTATTTAATCAAATATTCATGATCAAAGCAATTTAAAAATATCTTTGCCATCTTGTTGTCTATGGGTTAAGAGAGTAAGGAGGGCCGAAACCGGTTTGGCTCAGTGGATAGAGCGTCGGCCTGCGGACTGAAAGGTCCCAGGTTCGATTCCGGTCAAGGGCATGTACCTGGGTTGCGGGCACATCCCCAGTAGGAGATGTGCAGGAGGCAGCTGATCGATGTTTCTCTCTCATCCATGTTTCTAACTCTCTATCTCTCTCCCTTCCTCTCTGTAAAAAATCAATAAATATATTTTTTTTAAAAAAAGAGAGTAAGGAGGAAAAAGAGGAAGGGTATCAGACTGTATCTTTATACAACATGACAGAAACAATGGATTAGAGTAGTGGTTCCCAAATTATGTGTTGTGTGCCTTACTGGGAGCTCAAATGTATCCATGTATACTTTAAGTGTGACCTTTAGAAAAAAATTAGTATGTCTTGTGTATTCAATGTACATACTACTTTTCAAATGCATAGAAATATTACTATAATTAAGAAAACATAAAAAGTGTTACTGAACTCTTAGTAGTTAGGGGCACTACGTATTTTGTCACAATCTACTATCACCTAAGAGCCCTGGAAGGTGCAACTCCGTGGTTGGAGCATCGGCCCACGCACCAAATGGTCTCGGGTTCAATTCCCAGTCAAGGGCACCTACTTAGGTTGCAGGTTGAATCCCCAGCCCAGTTGGGTGTGTGCAGGAGGCAACCAATTGATTTCCCTGGTGACATAAATAATTTTTAACTCCTATGTTCAAAAGAGAGTGAAGCACTAATTTAAAATACTATTAGAGGCCCGGTGCACAAATTCATGCACCAGTGGGGTCCCTTGGCCTGGTCTGCAGCATCAGGCCAAAACTGGCTCTCCAACATCCCCCGAGGGGTCCCAGATTGCAAGAGGGCACAGGCCAAGCTGGGACCCCACTGGTGCACAATTGGGGCCAGGGAGAGACACAGGAGGTTGGCCAGCCATGGAGGGACCGTGGGCATGTCCGGCCCTTCTTGCTCAGTCCCAGTCAGCTGGACCCCAGCAGCAAGCTAACCTACCAGTCGGAGCATCTGTCCCCTAGTGGTCAGTGCACACCATAGCGAGTGGTTGAGTGGCCTTAGCATATCATTAGCATATTATGCTTTGATTGGTTGAACGACTGACCGGTCGACCAGATACTTAGCATATTAGGCTTTTATTACATAGGATAGCCAGGCCCTAGCTCGTGTGGCTCAGTTGGTTGGAGTGTCTGTCAGTGGTGGGTTCGATTCCTGGTTAGGACACATACCCAGGTTTTGTTTCTGTCCCCAGTCCAGGGTCCATGTGGAAGGCAAACAAACAACATTTCTCTCTCGCTCTCTGTCCGTGTGGAAGGTAAACAAATGATGTTTCTCTCTCTCCCTCTCTCTTTCTCTTCCTCCCCCCCCCCTTTTGTCCCTCCCTCTGTCTCTCCCTTTCTCTCTCAGAAATTAATTAATTACTATAGCCAGGGAATACCTGAGGTTTACACACATGTTGCATTTCCTTACCACAAATTCAATTACCATAAAAGGTTTGGAAGATAAGGGGTCAGATAAGATGGTCCCTGGGAACAGTATTTTATCTGGCTATAAGAATAACATTGTAATTTTAGGAATATCTTTGTCCTTCGCATTAAGCCGTAATTAAAGAGTAATCTCTAGCAGCGGTTCTCAACCTGTGGGTCGCGACCCCTTTGGCGGTAGAACGACCCTTTCACAGGGGTCACCTAAGACCATCCTGCATATCAGCTATTTACATTACGATTCATAACAGTAGCAACATGACAGTTATGAAGTAGCAACGAAAATAATTTTATGGTTGGGTCACAACATGAGGAACTGTATTTAAAGGGCCAGAAGGTTGAGAACCACTGCTCTAGAGTTTGCATTATCTACATTGTAGTTAGAGAGTTGATTTTTCTGCACTATTTTTTAGGTTCTAGACTTTCCACTTATTATTAAGGAGCAACTGTTTTTTCAATTCTCCTTAGTTCTTTCCCATCAAAATTATTCCAAGAATATTAGCAAGATCAAACTACCCATTTAACAAACTGGGACGTATGTATGCCTGTTTATTATTTGCCTGCTACAATTAAAACATTGTCTACTAAATTCTTCTCCACACTAGAGAGGAGAAAGGGTTGCACTGAGGTTTTTGAGGGTGAAGAGGCCGTGGTAGGTAAGAGAATGAAAAGGACTTGCTAGATACAATCTATCTCTGCAAACTAGATATTCCCAACACTAGCCTTAAAAAACAAAACAAAAAAATCCCACAGGCTGCCTCCAACTCTAAAACCCTCCTACCCCCCACAAAGGAATTGATTTTAAAAATATTTCAGTATTTTGAAAGTACCAAGTACACACTGCAAATAGCTACGATATTACAGGTGGCTCTTATCCTGAAGAGCGAATCTAATTTGCTTTCACCTGGGTTTATAAGAAATCATAACAAATCCGAGACGTGCATGCTAAGCACAAATTCTTGAAAAGGAAAAATGTAAATACAGCAAGAACTAATATTGAGAAACAAAAACAAAACAAAGCTTTAGAAGATAAAATTTAAAAATTACAAAGGACAATGGAACCTGAAAGAATAAGGAAACAGAAAAAAACTTCATCAGTAACACGACAGTAATAAAAACCAAATCACAGAGCAAAAAGCAGTGAAAGGGAAAGACCGAAATGAAACAATAAAAACATCTGGTCATAAAGTTAGTAATTGATCAAAATACTAACTTAAACAAGTCACTTTTCTTTTGCTCATATCTGCAACAATACATTAAACCTCATACATATTTCTGATTTGACCCTGTAAAGCCATATTTTGCTACCCTCTGTTAACTGAACTTAATGCCACTCAGTTTTATTAATATTAAATATTGGATTTAGCAGTTGCATAGCAACAAGGACTGTCTCATGTGCCATGCTTGACATTAACAAAAGGCAAATAAGGGAAGAACAAATGTATTCAAAATTTATACCATGATCTCATAGAAAAGCCATGAAGATCAATAACAAAATGTCATGGAAAATTAGATAAATACTGAAAAAGATAGCCATGTCATTATGTTCAATCACTAGGATTTAAAAAGCACTTTTATGTAATATATTACATATAAAGAAATATTAATAATTTTACTGAACATGGCCACTATCCAAGAATTCCTATCCAACATTACAACTGGTCTCAAAGCTGGTCTCCAGACTCTTCCTCACTGCAGCCTGCACTGTCTTCAGATTGCATTCCTGAAGCGCTGCTTTAACAATGCTACCATCTGTTCAGAAAAATTGTACATTATATAAAAAACAAATCCCAAAATCCTAAATCCAGCAATCAAAGCAGCTTATAATTTGACCCCAACCTACTGTTAAAAAGCAGCCAGTTTCACAGAACCTTCCGGCTTATTCTCACAGCTCCAGTCAGGTTGGTGTTCTAATATAGTCAGTTATCATTTCTACCTCCTAATATTTTCTCAAGCCTTTGTATCTCATCTCTGCCCAAATAAATTATCATCTTCAAGGCACTCTTCAATTTACTTTAAGAAATACATATTCACTTCT